ACATACCCCATCTGTTCTCACCTGTACCCGTGGTGCCAGCAGCTCTCGCAGGGCCCCGAGCTTCGCTCACCACAGGCAGCGCCGAGGAGGGGCTGGAGGATCCCAGTAGCAAGCTCAGCCCAGCTCCTTCCCCACTGCTCAGCCTCCTCTTCCTCTCAGACTGCCCCACTCCCAGCAACACTCCAGTGCAGGAGCTGGGTTAAATCAGCAGGTGCTACTCGTGTAATCAGCCCCTCTGGAAAGGGAGGAAGGAAACTCCCCGCAGCTGCTGCCCGGAGCATCGAGCTGCCCCCGGGTCCCGCGGGCAGGGCAGGTGTGGGCAGCCGGCACGGCTCGGGCCAGGCCGCGGCGGGGAGTCGTGTCCCCCACGTGTGTGCCACAGGCTGGTCCCCTGCTCTGTCTCTGGGGTACCTGAGAGTTCACACCACAGACAAAGCCTCGAGTAACACCTTCGTCAGGGCAAAGCCTTCGTTAGGGCAAAGCCAGACCTTGGCTGGGGCTGTAAAGCAGATGACGCTCCAACCAGTGGTAATTCTAGAAAGGTTTGCATCTTTAAAGGCTTCCCAGAGCAAAACAAAAGTCTTTTAAAATAAACACAGTGGTGCCCATCCTGCAGGAAAGCTGTTGTACTGACTTTACACCCGATAACTGCAGTTCTCATGAGGAAAATCCATGATTTGACTGAGAGCAAAGCTGCTGGCGCGCAGCGCTCCCCTGCAGCACGGCACTGGGGCCTCCGCTCAGTCACCCGGGACGTGTCCTGCCGGGCGCTTTTCGGCGTGAGAACCCCGTTCAGCTCCGGAAAAGCCCAGGTTTGCTGTCGGTGCTCTTTGCATTAACTTCTCGGGGCAGGCGCAGCACCTTTTCCACTTGTGTGAATAATCCTCAGGAGGCAGAAAGCCACAGAGCGGCTACAGAAACGGATTACTTCATCAGGAATTAAATACTGAACTCTGCTGAACTCCTGAGTCATCTTCAACCCAGAAAACCAGCCGGGATGGCACGAGAAGCAGGTGTGACATCGCGAAACATCATAAAGCGTTTGAAAAACTCAGCTTGGAGTTTACAGGAACACAGGCAGTAAAACTTGGGGTTCACCGATATCCCCTTCGCTGGGGCAGCCGCTGCTCCGAGGGCGGGGTGGGAGCCCCGCTCCCTCCCCATGGGGGTGGCATTCCCGGGAGACTTGGGGTGCACGGCAGGAGCTGGCCAGCCCCCGGCAGGCCCCGCTCGCCTCCCAGCCCGGGGGTTGACCTGCCCCTCGCTCCCGGCCCTGGCCGCGGTGCCCAGGCTCCCGCGCGGGGCGACGATGGCCCCAGCCCCAGGGATTTGGCTTCGCGGCCCCGCGGCGCGGGCAGAGCGCTGCCTCGGCACCCGGGCGAAGGACGGGCTGGGAGAGGTGTCGAAACAGCCCTGCAGCGGGCAGGTGCCGGTGACTCACGGGGAAAGGCTGCCTGCACGCCGGGACCGGCCCCGGAGGAGAGGGGATGCAGCATGGGAACCTCGCTCAGCTCCCCCACAGCTCCAGCAGCAGCCGCGCCGGAGGGGAGAAAGTTGTGGGTGATGGTGGAGCTTCTGGGCTGGGGGAGGGCTGAGGAGGAGGAAAACTCAGCTGCACGGAGGTTTGCCGGACGGCAGGAGCCTGCCCGTGCCTGTCCCGCCCAGCGCTGCGCGGACAGAAGCGGGGCTGAAAGCGCAGGGAGCCGCGGCCTCCTCCATCCCGCTGGGGCGCGGACGCCTCCGCACAGGCGTTACCGCGGCCAGAGCCGGGCGGCCTTCCTCCCACCTCACACAGAGCCACCCAGGCTGGAAAAGCCCCTCGGGATCAGCGAGTCCGACCCTCAGCCCGACTCTACAAAGTTCTCCCCTACCCCACAT